TTTTTGATGACTATATTGCCTTCAGATTTATTTGTGTTGTACTTTATGTATGCACGCCACGTTACCGAACAAACTAATGTAAATTAAGGCATTGAGTGATTCACCGGAGAGTTTAGGGTTATAGTCTTTCCTTCATAAAGTGTAATGTGATGGTCTTAGTAAATAATAAGCAAGATTTTGACCAGTCAATGACAACTTCCACCAGCAGAGGGCGTAAAAACATCAAAAATCTGTCTGAGCTGTCAGCTGGTTACAGTTTGGAGCTGATGCATCCTTGAATTGGTCTGCTTTGTGTAAAACAGATACATATTTAATGCAAAATCAATTTGACAAAATAAAAACAAATGTATCTCTTTCTAGTCCGAAATTGTATTTGCATCATATACTTTACTAGGGTGTTTGTTAAACATTATACACCTGATTCACCTCACGTGTTGTATAAGCAGTTTTATAAAACACATGCTGACTATACCATAAAATTAAAACTATGAGGCCACACATTACAAAAAAGAAGAAATCGTAAAGGATGTTTTCCCAATGTAACATGTTCAATTTCATATGTGGCATAGTCTTCATTATCACCATTTGTTTCTCCATCTCTGACTTGATCAAATTCATCTTTAAAGTGAGGACGTCATTTCACTGAACAAACTAAAGAGAAAACCGTAAATGAACTTCAAATGTTTGAACATCTCAGTGTTTGTTTGGTGGGAGGACCTTGGATAGTCTTAGAAACCTATTTCAAGTTCAATTCAGCATGCTGGTGCACTTTAAGAGGAATATCAAAAGTTACATATAAAGAGCCTTCAACATTTGTAACCTTTCAGCATTAAGATGTATAAATAAAGACTAAACTGATAAAAGTTGTCGAGTAGCGAACTTGCATTATTCAAAATAGATAAGAAATAATGTCGAAAATGTATATTCCCTTTGAGAAACTGTCAGTTATGCCAGACGTTGTCACAAGCTGACCTTTTATCCGGTATAAACTATTCTTTCAAATACAACTTTCCAATTGTCTCACATTGTTCTCATCATTAACTCTATATTTTAAGGATCATTTAGTTGCCAAATATGTCGGAATCTTAAAAGAACCACAAGCTGAGCATACGTTAGCAGCAAATAAAACAAAAGTCACAACCTACTGTACCTGCAACATTATTTGAAACCTAAAACAATGGTTAATGTGGGGAAAACTTCTGTGTAGCAATGCAGGAGGAGTCACCGACTCAAAGGAGACACGGGGAGAGCTGGAGCTTTGATGTCAAACACTGGTGGTTTATTAGGAGCTTCGGCCGGAGAGTTCACAAAACAAGTCAAAGAGCCAGAGGTTCTGAGTTCACGGTAGAGTTGCCACGTCAATTCTGAAGAACTCCACCCCAGACCCATGTATTTAGCTAGTTCACAGAGAATAATCAACATTGTGCATAACAAGACAGAATCATAACACCTCTATCAGCTGACGCCAACAGGCAGGAACAGGGAGACAAAACACTGAGAGCACAGCAGCCAAGGCTACAGGTGCGTGTGCTCAGTCAGGACAGTTTGAACTGATACACTGGGTCAAAGTTATGGGCCTTGGGAAATATTTCCCCAACAGTTAACACCATTAACTTCGATGAAGGCCAGGAGCTGTCTCTCTTTTTAAATGTCCTTTAATAGTGCTAGGACTCTCTTAGGGTGCATTCACACCTAATAGTCCGCTCTCTGGTGCGCACCAGACCACAGTTTGTTACATTGTTTCATTTTTCAGAAGGTTCGGTTTGCGTTCACACGGGCAAAACTCAAACGGACTATAAACTTTAAACACAAGTCATGTGCACGGAAATGCTGTTCAACCATTGGTCAGACATTAAGGGGGTAAAAACAGAAATCCCGGCAATTTCTACCGGAGCCTCCGCCATGGAGCATCGGCACTTTCGGCAGGTTATTATCATGCTGCTGTTAATCTGCAGATCAACAGACACTAGCGGCCCGCGCATATGATTATATAATCAGACAACGTCCATTAAAAAACATTATAGCACATATAATGAGACGTTCTGCAGCGTTTCACCGACGACAGGTGTTCTTACTTGTATGTAGTTGACGGAGAATTTTTACTTTACACAACACTGTTAAACACTTCATTCTGCTTCACTCTTTAACTAAACAACCGCGGATGTCTTGAAAGACTCTTTCGCTAAAGATTTTTGAAGATATCCGCGTTCTTGTGACACGTAAATACTACGCTTCCTATGTTTTGGTGCGGACTGCGTTCACACCAGCAATGAACCGCTCCAGAGTTCACTAGCAAGCGTTCCGAGACCACCTATTTTAGCGGACCAGAGTCCGGTTGTTTAGTTCACTTAAGAGGTCTCGGACTGTGTTCACACCGACCCAAATGAACCGCACCAAGCGGATAAACGCACCAGGGTTCGATTCAACCGGACTATACAAGGCAGGTGTGAACGCACCCTTAAACCACAACAAATGCTTATCTGGATATAACCACATGAATAGAGTCAAAGCAAAGACTCATCTCCATTATATTATGCCAGACAAACAGTATGGAGGGAAATAAAATACAACAGTCCACCAACATCTTGAAAACGACCCCGGCAACATGACCTCATAGGAAACAAAGGGCATCTTCTTCCCTCAGGAAACATCTGGGCCAACACTTCATTTCCACAACTGATCAAAAGAGACAAAAAAAAACAGGGCGTGTCACCGCATGATTTGACTTTTAAGTCTGTGGTGGAGAGTAATCAGGAGGATAATAGGGGCAACAAGGAAATGACCCTGTAATTCATTGTTTCCACTGAGCACTCCTGTGAGGCAGCAAGAAGTGCAGGACCTATACTGTGTATATCATACCTAGTATAACAAATAATCTACCTCTAACAGATATGATGCAGTGTCATAACATAATATGATCAAAACTTTACTTTATAGAAACACTGAACTTCAATGTAAGTTGTCTTTCTCAATCTGAAGTGCTTTATCAAACCAAAACACTAAACAATATCTGTTCAAATGTGAGGATTTGCAGCTTTTCTCCATTTAATATGGCTGGAAATTGAATTTCTTTGGATTTTTGACAGTTAGAGACGTCACCTTGGTCCTGGGGGAAAGTGATCATTCTGACATGTAAAAGACCAAACACTTACAACTCATCAGATTTATTGACAAAAACAAAATGGTGGACGAAGTATTCAGATCTCTAAACAAAAGACAACTAAACAAAATGCTTGAAAGATTTGACAATTACAAAATAATGTATACATTATTTGGCCAAATGTATATTGTATTTGGAAGCTTTCTCCACACATTTGGTCTAGTGGTTGATTTTCATAGTTTGGGTTTTCAAGTCTTACAGCAGCAGCTCATTGAGAACCATGGTTTTGGAAAAATACATAATATTACCTCAAATTGCTATAGTATTATATGTTCAGTTTATAGTCATAACTTTGTTTTTTAGATTATAGTTGCAACCAGGGAAACTATGAGAAGTGTCTCATAAATACTCGTTACCTTGGAAACAGTATTCAGTGTAGTTTAACAACATTTTGGTTGTCAGGAATTTATCTTAATAAACAGGCATAAACTGGAGCTAAACTAACACCCCAGAAGCTAACATATAAAGTAATATTTCCTAAAACGCTATAAATTGATTCATTCATTTCATTCCTGTTCACACTCAAAAGTGATCAGTTTAACAACATAGCAAGTAAAACTTTTTTTTTGTAATTATCTAAACAATTGTTGTGCTATTTAGAAAGCTAAATCAAGCTAGCTCTGTTTGCATCTGTCAGATTCAAAGTGTATTGGAAAGCTTTCTGGCTATCATTAGCAGGCTCTGAATATTTGTCATCTTGACCTCAGCTGCCTTTCTGCCTCAGGTATAGCCTTCTCCTGTATTGACTAGACAGAGGGTTTTTGGAACTATTTTCTGTCACAACCAGCAACAAAAATACAGAGTAGCCACTAGTCAGTTAGCTAGCTAAGAGTGGGCAGGTATAGCTAGCAGGCTAACGTTTAGGTTTAAAGTTAAACAGCTAGAAAATAAACAATTCTCATCACAAACTAATTATCAAAAGAGTATACAACCCACATTTTTACTGTAAGCATTATTCCATGAACATATTGTCAGTTAACATAATACAGGCAACATTTGGTTCTTACCTGCAGCAGCACCTCCACCTGGTCAGGATATGTGTACCGTGAAAGGCTCGCGCACGCTAAGGGGCTGTCTCTAAATGTGCCTGCACGCGAATGCAAAAAAGTAAATACAGTAATGCAATACGTTTGTTTTAAATATTATGTATTTCTCTTAAATGTGAGAAAGCGCTAGAGAAAGTAGAAAAAGTTATTAATTATTTTCAGTATGATGAATGAAGGAAAATAATCCATAGATGTATTATTTGTTCTCGAGTGTCAAATGTAACTGTCCATATACTCAGTTAGCGTGATTTTTGTTTCTGCAGTTCATATTATAAAGGGACAATTTTGAATGCAATTGAACACTATACATATTGTTCGAACTTAATTGAACCAAAGTCATTCACTTGCTAAGAAAAATAAGGCTTTAAACATTTCCAATCAATACTCAGTTATTATAATGTCCACCCCATTTATATCAATGAAGGCTCAAAACACAAACACCAGCCTGTATAACAAATACACCTCAAAAGCACCACAAACCACATCTTACAACATTTTTGTGAAAATAACATCAGCATTATACTGTTTCACACACTAAATCAGACCGACTTTATGCAGGTATAATTTGTTGCAGGTCTGTTGTATTATAGTGAATTAGTTTCAGTAAGTAACTAATAAACTGGCAACTGGGTGTATAAACGGTATTCAAAATGTCAATGGCAAACACTATATTGGTGATTAGTGTTGCTAAGGAGAACATAATGTGCTAAGGTTACCATTTACTTGTAAAGCATCATTGTGTGGTAGTGGATGTAAGATAATGGAATGCTTCAGAAAAACAATAGACAGTTAACTACATTTAAAATGAAAGTTTATTTATTTCAATCACATCAATATTACACAGTAATAGGCCTTAATTGTGTAGATTAAACCATATTCACCTCAACTGTAGCACTGAGGTACAGCCTGAGTATTATCTCAGATAGTGTACCTTCGATCATTTGCGCCCAAAATCAGCATAGAGTATCACAAAATAATTTTTGCATAACAAATAAATACATGAAAATGAATCACAAGAAGCCCATCGAGTGGCATTCCTCGAAAAGTACAGATTTGTAACTTTCACTACATTATAACTGATGAATGAATTACAGCCAAATGAAATTGTCAGGGGCAAGATTGCAGTGTGACTTAATCATACAGTACAAAGAATCACATTATATTGCACATGTAGAGTTAAGAATCTAAAAATAGGTTAAAGTTAAAATGTCCTATGCAAGAAGCTGCAACCAAAGATTCAGTTTGTCCTGTGCATGGTTGGAAACTCTTTTCCAATAAAGGTAGCTAGCACTAGCTCAAAAAGTTGCTAAAAGTCACCACATGGAGCTTACAAACAGTGATTGCACAGAAAAGATAATACAGTATTGATCAATACAGTACAATGACACATAATTGATTTCCCAGCAGCCTAATGAGTGTGGCCGATCATGCCTGAGTCAAGAGCACGCTACAACAACAAGTAGTAGCCCACATCATGCCAAATTCACCCCATACGGAAACATCACATTTGATCATACAGCATCAGAATACCTCCCAAGACTGAAACAAGAAAAATAAAATGGAGTCCTTGTGCATGAGCCATTGTGCCGTCAGTTGCATTCATTTCTTCGCGCAGAATTTGCTGTAGTTGCTACAGGCCTTCTGCATGTCTGTTAAGAAACCTGGAACCCCAGTCTGTTAAAGACAAACAGAAAAAGAGCATCTTTCAGGGAGTATTATGAACAGATGTGCAGAGAAGACACACCCAGGTGGGGCAACAAAGAGAGGAGCTTGTTGACATCATCCTGGAACACATCTGCTAACAATAATGATGGAAAACCATAAAGCAGGCCGAGGGACGGAGCTCTCAGAGGCCTGGGAGAGAACCCTTTAAACACCCTCTTTAAAGTAGATCCACGACGAATGTGTTCAACATACAGTAGTGACGTATTGCTTGAATGAAATGGTTTCTTCAAACTTACATATGTCAGAGAAAGTATAAATTACATTTATTAAGATGCTTAAAATAAAGTTTCCCTGTCACTTTTAGGCTTTTCCATGTCATGGCTTTTATTGTTAGCAATGTTGTCCTCTTACTCTGAACAACAACAGCAGCAGCATTAAATGCTGTATATTTGTATGATGAGATATTCTTTGGTTGGAACAAATGTGAAATTCCACTCATAGAAGCAAACAATCACCCTAAGGTCCGTTACACACCAGAAAAGAAAATACTTACATCTGGCTAGATGCATAGAAACTCTTATTTTGGTGGAAAAGGGGTATTAGACATCAACATTTATAAATATTTCACTATTTTGTGGCCTTCTGGTGTGTCGAAAATGGTCTCAAGAGTGGATTAATCTAGAAATGGCTGAAATCAAACATTTTATTTCCAGTTTTTTCAGCTAGGTGTGTTGGCTGGCAGTAGAAACATATAATATGTAAATGACAACAGATGAGTCGCAAGTTTGGCTGAATAATTAAAGAGTAAAGTTGGCCATGGAAAACAGGATGGTACAATTGTTTTTCCCCAGTGTTGTGGATATTATCACATGTGACATATTATAAAACAAAGTTAGATGTTTTATTTTTTCCAAATTTGTGTACAGCGAACAGATCTAAGGAAGCAATATCTCCATAGGCAACCATTCAAATCCGCTTCTTTGCAAAAAAATATCTCCAAACAAATCTAGTGTACATAAAGTAAACTCACATCTTCTTAAAGCTTAATTGTTTATTTACTTCCAAAACTTGAAAATGTAAACAACTTACAGACTGAAATGCTCCAACCAGTCATGCTAAATTACCCTTTACTAACCCCAATGAGGAAATTATTTGCATGTAATCCATTTCAGTTCAGTTCAGCGAGGCCAAAGCCCCTAAAGCTACTTATTACATACATACAGGTTTATAGCTTCTCCTTATTTTATTCTTGCATTGTTTGTATTCATTTCAGGAATATTAAATTAAGTAAAAGAAACATGTGTGCACTGACCTTCGCTGCCCAGTTCACCAGCCAGGTGGGAATCATGCCACCAGGGTTGTCAAAGTAATTCATGAAAACTGAAGAAAAAAAAATATTTTCATTTGACAGTTTTGACATCTACCATTAATTAATCAACTGTTTTTTTCATTGAAAGATCTGACAATATCACGTTTTTTTTTAGTGAAAAGCAAATACATTTCACAAGAGCTTTTCCTCCCAAATACTTAGATACTTCTTTTAAAAGTTAATAGGGTTAGGTTTTGTTTTTTTGCATACATTTTCCCTATTAGTATTTAGATTTATATCAAACATGTTTTCATTGATATCACAATATGAACTTCAGACATATTGCCCAAGCTTATCTACAAATATTCAATTAATAATTAACTAATCTGAAAATGCCAGACACCTTTTTGCAGCATAAATGGCTTGAACAAGTGATTAGTAAAGAAATGTCCGTCAAACTAATAGTATACACGTTTTAACTGTACAAAACACATACACTGTTGCTGCGACATCTGTCTTTTGTTTTCAAATCCATTAAGTTGCAGCTCTGACAAATTACACAATGAACACAATGACGTCACGGACAGACAAGGAAGTTGTAGTACGACCGTCTGGCCACTACCAAAGTTTGTTTCAATGCCCTGCGCACTTCCTGGTTACTTGTTACTTGGGTACCTTTGGTTCCACAGCCTCCGTCGCTCTCCAATGCCACGCTCTGCTTGTAGTCTTTGACCCGCAGCACACCGCTCTTTTCGGCACATGGCGTCTCTGGAGCACTTCTGGCCAGGATCACCCAGATCTTCCTGCCATCCACATCCAGGTCTCTGCTCTCCCTCATGTACACATACTGAGGGTTCAGCTGTTAGGGAAGACTTTTTGGGGAAATATGCTCTCCATTACAGTATGATTTCAACTATATAAACTATACTTGATGCTTAAAAAGGGAAAACCTTTAGTGTTCAGACCAGTTTTGTTTGTTTAGACCAGAAGGATACATCTCTGTTTGACATAGGAAATGGGTATTTTACTTCCCAGTAGATTGCATTTTGTCCACCGAAGTCCTTCTCAAAGAGCTCTGAATACAAAAACAAGAAGATCAATTACTCAAAATGGCTGTTAAAGATGAATTAAATATGTTTACGCTGCTTCAATCTCTGAGGTTACTCTGTAATGTGTTGTTTTTCATCTCTTTTGGTAAGGAAAGGAATTGGTAAGGACATTTAGATTTTTTTCTTTGGGTTAGGGATAATCTGCCCATGACCAAATTATGGAAATAGAAATGAACAATTAAAAGCACACAGTAGGATACATGTGATTCAGTACAGTACATTTGTACACCTACTAGATTATAAATACAATGGGGAGAACCCCATGTTGAGACTTCAAATGATCTAAGCCATCACACGTTATACAGTAGTTCTTGACTATTTAATGTAGGAATTACAAGTTACAAGAACATTTTACTGCAGAAATTAACATTACAAAAATACATATTACCTCCTGCACAATATTGTTTACAAACATGTAAATATGAGCCACAGTTTCCCCTTTATAGTCATTTTGTGCATTGTTGAAACATGGTTATTTGTGCATAGTTGGCTAACAATTGTGTGCAACTGACTGCTGGTCGACTTTATTATAGGAGGGGGAGACACCATAGCAAATACAAGAAGACTCTGCTACAACCATAGACAACAAACTACCCCAAAATACCATTTTAGAAGAATAACCTACTTTAACTTCTTATAATATCACGTTGGACAAAAATGTCTTACTGTTTCTAACAGACTAGGGAGATACAAAAGGACAACAACATGTTACCTGCAGGTTACTGTAGAGTTGCATGGAGACAAGGATAACAGATTAAGCATGTTATTTCACTGTATAAACCATATACAGAACACTCGCTCTAAGAAGACAGATGGTTAAAGACTGACAACAGAAGCTAACGTGTGTTACAGGCTAACAATAATGTGTGAATGTCAGTAATGTACTGAGGAATACAACCAATTATTATGAGGGAAAGTTGATTTGGATGGAAAGGAGAATGACAGTGAGAACCTCACTTTATTTTTGTTTTTTTATTACCTTTCACATATGTATCCCAATGTTTCCGATACGTCAAGTCCATGTAGACCTCTGCACACAGCTCTGCATTGCAGTTGTTGAGCACACCAAATACTTTGTACTCATAAAGTCCAGTTTCCTGAAAACAGCACATTAAATGTCTCTCTTCCAAATGTTTGCTACACGCCACAACCACAGTATGTGACCAATCCCATAACCAAACAACTCTCATTAGAGTGGTGTGTGCATTACACCCTGTCACCCAAAGTGTGTTGGATTGATCCAAAAGCATGGAAACCGTTCTGAAGACACACCTTTCACAATGAAAATTGTACTAAACCTGACAAACTGCATTTCTAGGCACATATTTTGCGCCTGAACGTGTGTCAACATGAAGGGAAATATAATTTGTGTTGTGTTCCCTTGGCAGAGAACAGCACATTAAGGGTGTAATCCAAATAATTGCAAAAGATTATCTGGATTATCTCCAATGAAACTACAAAAAGTTTAAATTACTTTTGTTTTTCAGACTGAAATGTATGTGTGTGTAGGCCCTATTGGAGTCAATGAGGTATAGTTCAAACACAGTGAGTGAATGACGATAACTTGGGTAGCTGCAGTTTAACATTTAAAATGTGACTTTTTTTTAAAAAATCATTCAAAAGCTGCTGCCTTGATGGGCCAGATGTATACCGAATTTACGGGTGGATCTTTATAATTTACATATGCATTAAATCAGGTTTGACAATATGTGTATACGTGTCCAAAGAAGGCAACTTTAAATTGCCACATTTGTAAATTGAGTTTGGTTAGACCGGTCCAACAGCTCTCAATTCAATTCCCGGATAGTTCTCATGTTGGCCGCTAGGAAATCACTGCAGCTGTTTTCTTTTTACCAATGTTGTCATCAAATGTATCGCTCTAAAGATAACAATCTTATCAATTTTGGATAGACAGGAAGTCGGTGATGATACCGATAATACACAAGGAAAGCCGATACGGAGTCATTCATTTAGTCACGAGCAACCCTCTTCCTGTTGTAAAAGCAGCAGTTGTATTTTAAATTCTTATAAATACCTTATCGTGGAGCCGGTAGATTTTGACTCCCATGGTCTCGGTGAAGAGTTCCCATCCTCCCTCCAGCTGCGGCTCATCCAACTCCTTCCACGCGCTCTGAAACTCCTCATCTTTAAACTGCAGCGACATGACGGCTCGCGCTCGATCCGCTGACAACAGACACCTTACCTGTCTGTCACACAAGCGAGAGCACCACTTCCGGCTATGGCTTTCAAAATAAAAGAGCTCGCAGTTAATAAATGTGTCAAACTGGAATAACTTGAACTACAGCAACACTTCCATTGGTAGAAATGTAATTTGGGAAGCAAGTATTTACAACTATAAACAAACAAATATAGCATATTGATCATGTAGAAACAAATATATGACAAAATGACACATGCCAAAAAGATATGCCACTCAATGTATATTTAAAACAATTAAATAGTTGTTTAATTACATGTAGCTCACTTCTTCCCAACACAGGATTTTAATCATTGTTACATACTGTATGTATTTTACATTACATTTAGCTGACGCTTTATCCTCCAGCTCCCGGCTCCCGCGGCTATATTATGCACGAGTCAACAGCAGACTCACCCACAGTTTCCACCGGGGCCGTCTGCGCCGCGCTGCGCCGTGTTACGACTGCGCCGCATCGGTCGTAACCCCCAAAACACACCAGGAGCGTCTGCGTCGTGTTACGGCCGCGCCGCGGCGGTCGTAAGGATCGCGGCCACTCTAGTCAATGGGTGCTATTACACCACACGCGCCGTGTTACGGCTCAGACGCGTCCCAGAAGCGGCTCGGCGCAGCGCTTCTCTAAAATTAGGATGAATCCTATTTTTGCCGCGGCGCAGCCGTAAGGTAAAGTCGGGCAGGCAGCCCCCCCCTCGCAGGAAGTGGAAAGTTGAGCATCCGGGCCAGGCCCATCCCCCACATATACTGATTTAGCAGACCCCACAACACCTCCACTCCCATAACCGGCTCCTTCTCCTCCCCCCATCCCCCCGTAGTCTTTCAAGTAGGAGAATACATGCCAGCGTTCTCCTACGGTTTACAGGCACTGTAAATGATATATATATATAGAATAATTATGATGATGAATGCATATTTTTTTACCACTAAAATACAGCAACACATCTTTGATTCATGTCGTTTATAACTGGAATATTACAATTATTATTAACTGTGTCTGTAGTCTACAACACAACAAAATAGGAAATAACAACAATAAACACGATTTAAACAGACACAAACATAAACCATTTAACTACGTATAGCCTACTTACTTGTAGAAGTACAAATGTCCAGGAAATATTCCAAAATCAACAACAACTACAAGGCTGCACACACGACGCTCCGCTTCCGCAACGTTTTGAAACGCGTCTGGTGTGTGTTGTCGCAGGAGGAGGTCGCAGCGTGGCGCAGCCGCAACGTAACGCGGCGCAGACGCTCCTGGTGTGTTTTGGGGGTAAGGATTGCGGCCACTTTAGTCAATGGGTGCTATTCCACCACAGGCGCCGTGTTACGGCTCAGACGCGTCCCAGAAGCGGCTCGGCGCAGCGCTTCTCTAAAATTAGGATGAATCCTATTTTTGCCGCGGCACAGCCGTAACATAAGGTCGGGCAGGCAGCCCCCCCCTCGCAGGAAGTGGAAAGGTGAGAATCCGGGCCAGGCCCATCCCCCACATATACTAATTTAGCAGACCCCCCTCCTTCATCACAACACCTCCACTACGATACGCACAATGGACGACGAGGTTTTCATCATGGAAGTGGAAAAACACACTATTTTATATGATGTAACCAATGCTTACTACAAGGACAACATCAGAAAGGACAAGGCCTGGTTTTTAGTCGCTGCAGTTTGTGGAGTGGAAGGTAACAACTACATATTAATGTTTTAAAGTTAATTAATACTTGTAGGTACCGTACAGAGCCATTCAATAAACACAATTTAAACAGACACAAAAATAAAACATTTAACTACGTAGCCTACTTACTTTCTTGTAGAAGTACAAATGTCCAGGATGCCCGAATCAATAACAAAACTGTGAGCCTGCACGCACGACGCTACGCTTCTGAAACGCTTCTGGGACGCGTCCGGTGGGTTATGGCGCTAGAGGAGGTCGGACCAAAACCGCGGCGCAGCCGTGACGCGGCACAGCGCGGCGCAGCGCAGACGGACCCAGTGGAAACTGGGGGTTATGGCACATTTCCACTGCAGCGGGGTAGCCCCGTTTAAACGTCCCTAAGCGTCCTCGCTCAGGCCTCGGGCTGCCTCGCTGGCCGTCCGAGGCCGTGGCGCATTTCCATTACAGTTTAGGACCTGGGGTAGCAACGCAGTGTAGGCGAGGCATCTGTGCAGAGACATCCTGGAAAACTTTCACATTTTGAGTTGTCCCGTCGAGCTCCTGCTGGATTTTATCATCCCCAATGAGATGTAGGAACGTCGTCACCTCCTCGGTTGACCACGGTGTGCTTTTCTTTGACGTTGCCATTTTTGTAGCTCCTCCGTTTACAAAAATGCTGTGTATAAAAATGCTGCAAGCTTGCTTCTAGATATGCGACGCTAGGGATGATCTCGCGCGGGATCTTGTGACGATTCTCTCTGACCAATCAGCAGTCGAGAGTGTTGACATCACTAGTTCAGCCCTGGCCCTGGCCTGATAGAACCACGATTTTATGGGGCCGGAAAAAGTGGGGAAAAGTACCCGCTAGCCGGTGTTACGCTATATGGAAAGGCCACCAAAAACTGGCCTGGCCGCTTGAGGACGATTAAGGACGCTTAAACGGGGCTACCCGCTGCAGTGGAAATGCGCCATTAGAAATGTGCAAATCCTGACTCACTGTGCAAAACCGTGCAAAACACAGCACACTCGTGCGGACTCAGAGCCGTAACCGTATAGCAGCAGATCCAGAGATCCAGCAGACTCGTCGTCATGCAGGAGTCAACAGCAACAGGACCCTTTTATTTGTGATCAACGTGTTTTATTAAAGCAAAAGACACGACTTTACACACATTTAACACATACAAACACCAGTATTGCAATGATTACGCAGTCCATGAGAAAATAGGGGGGGGGCATATGATTAGATCTACATACACACTGTTTTCATGACCCAAATATGTATATATGTTCATTTTAATTAATTTCTTATTTTTCATAGTTATTTTATCATGGGTAGAGATATATGCTTGATTTTTTTGTGTGAGCATTTTACAAAAATAAGTGTTTTGCATTATATGTATATAGTTATTTTAATATGTTCCTTTACTAAAGCAAATGTTTGCACAATTGTGTTTTAATTTAATAATAATAATTGTATAATTAAGACATTTTATATATTCTAACTGTTTTGCAATTTTCTATAATTTGTCATTGTTTGTTTCTTTTTGTGTGCTTTGTTCAAAATAAACATTTTGCCAAGTAAGATCCTTATTGGAAATGCAGCTATTACACGCAGGAGACTGTTGCACAACATGACAATTTTGTTAGAAGTCTACACTGAAATGTCATTTAGAGCCGGGAACATAATGGACTTGGATCCGTGGATCCAGGACAATGACAGTAGACCAGTAGCCTACGAGTTAGTCAGCGGAACTTCACAGACTCAGATTCGCAAATCCTGACTCACTGTGCAAAACACAGCAGACTCGTGCGGACTCAGAGCCGTAACCGTATAGCAGCAGATCCAGAGATCCAGCAGACTCGTCGTCATGCACGAGTCAACAGCAGACTCGGATTCGCCAAATCGCAAAATAACCCTTTTTTTTGTGATCAAATTTTTTTATTAAAGCAAAAGACACTGTGTAGCGGAGGTTAATATAACGTCAGTTTAATATGCTCGTGAAATGCAACAAGTTTTCGGTTTCACCGATAGGATTTCTACGGTCTTGGTGATGCTGACTCATATGACTCAAATGACTCGTATGATCCGGATCTCTTCAATGACTGACTCACAAGACCCTGAGTCCGTAAAAGGATCCGGATTTGCCATCTCTAGAGCGTAGCAGTATGAAAAACCATGTGGGCTAATGACCGATCCGAGCAAGTTTGTGTACAAGGAGAAGAGGAAGGGACCAAGAACAGAGCCCTGAGGGACCCCTGTAGTTAATTGACAAGGGTTGGACTCGGACCCTCTCCATATTACCCTATAGGTACGGTCGTTGAGGTATGAGGTGAGGAGGGAAAGTGCAGTGCCTGAAACTCCAAATTATTGGAGAGTGTGAAGGAGGATCTGATGATTCACCGTGTCGAATGCAGCAGACAGGTCCAAAAGGATGATGACAGAGAGGGAGGCTGCTTTAGCAGTGTGCAGTTCCTCAGAGACAGCAAGGAGGGCAGTTTCTGTGGAGTGACCTGCCTTGAAACCAGACTGGTGCGGATCCAGAAGGTTGTTCTGATGGAGATAACCGGAGAGTTATTTAAAGACAGCACGTTCAAGTGTTTTAGACAGGAACAGGAGGAGAGAGACAGGCCTGTAGTTTATAACATCAGACGGGTTGAGAGTGGGTTTCTTTAGAAGAGGGTTTCCTCTTGCCTCCTTGAGACTGTTTGGAAAGTGACTAGAAGTTAGAGAAGTGTTGATGAGATGGGTGAGAAGGGGTAGAATATCAGGAGCGATAGTCTGAAGGAGGTTTGAGGGGATAGGGTCCAGAGGACAGGTGGTAGGGCGGGCAGAGGTAATGAGGGTAAGAACCTCACTTGGAGAGAGAGGGGAAAAGGAGGTTAGTGTGTGGGTGAAAGGAGGGTCTGGTGACCCAGCGGTGAGTAAAGGTGAGTCAGAAAAAGAAGAGCGAATATCATCAACATTTTTTAAAAAGTGGTTAACAAAGTCGCTTGACAGAAGGGAGGAGGGGGAAGGGGCTTTGGGGGGGTCCAAGAGGGTGGAAAAGATGGAAAATAGTTTGTTGGGGTTAGAATAGGAAGAATGGATCTTATCTTGAAAGAAAGTGCTTTTTGCCTGAGAGATCGAGGCAGAGAAAGAGGAGAGGAGAGCCTGATAGGTTAGGAGGTCGTCATGGTGTTTGGATTTCCACCGTTTCTGCTCTGCTGCCCGAAGGACGGTTCTATTAGCACGCAGTGCATCATTTAGCCAGGGAGCAGGAGGGGACTGACGAGCCTGCCGAGATGTGATAGGACAGAGAGAGTCCAGAGAGGATGAGAGAGTAGAGAGGAGAGTTTCTGCAGCAGAGTTTGGAGGCAGGAGTTGGAACGAGTCA